GCGTTATCTAAGGTTGAAGGTACCAAAATCAGCATATTCAATTAACTCAGAGACCAACGATAGGGCTTGAATTCACACACTCCATCTACTGAGTCATCATGTCCATTGGTGATACGACCATTCTCAAGCAATGAATCGGCTCCATAATCTCGCATATAAACATCGTAATCACTACTTGCTTTCCTGTTTCAGGGAACTAAAGAAATCAAACGAAACTTAGCGCAACAACAATCATATTTATACCATAGTGAAGTGCTTAAATGCGTTTTGCTACGATCACCACAGAGATATTTTTGGACAAAATTTTAATACCTGCACACAGCAGACTTAACACTATTGGCGCTTCAGTGCATTCCTTTTTGGAAGGTACGACGCAATAAGAACTAGCTGCTTCCATGGAAGTATAAATCAAATTAGGCTTATAGTTCTTAAAACGAGAGCAAATTTAATGATGATACTTAAAAGTCCATCAAGAAGCCATAACCTGTTTTAGAAAACTGAAAAGGATTATATATCTTTGCGAGGGTATCAATAACTAGCAATTTACTAATAGCATAAGATCAGGTTTTAATTTTCTACAGGTGTCCAAAAACGCCTTTGTTCGGCCCTGCCTAGTGATGCGGTTTTGTACCATGCACCGAAGGTGCTCAAATGCAATGGAGCCGTATATGGCCCATGGTCTCATATGCCATTACAAGCAAGGGGCGATGTTTATGCCGCTTCAATCCGGTATCAAAAAACTGAAAAAGATTTTACAGCATTAAGAAGCTTTGAATTTCAAATCTTTAACTACGCATGAGATTTCCATCCCATAGATGGAAATAACCGCTGAAACAAAGAAAGAAATCGTACCTTAAAAGCAGTGATCAGATATTGACCGAATTCCTGATTCTGTCTCGCGACATACATAAAGTGCAGTATCACAGTGCCCAACGCCTCCTTCAAACCACTGTCGGACTCAGCAGAATTGTCGCTAAAAAAGCAAAATCAAAAGTCGTTGCCAATGCTTAAAATATAAATCATAACCACTTCTTACATGGAAGGAACCAACTTTTCCGCAAGTTTCGAAAGATAGAAAAGAAGATTTTTAATGACTGATTGATTTTCGACCTAAAATTTTCGATATTCAAGTATCTTCAAACTCAGGCCAAGCAGACAAAACTTACCAAACTTGAAAACAGCAACAGCTGATAAACATATGGTGGCAAATCCTCCATCGTAACAAGCTTCAGCTCTCTTATGGCACGAGCTGAAACCATCTTCAACTGGACATTTGTAAGTGAGATTTCTCTAAAAAAGAAAATGATATTACAGCAAAAAAGGCGGTTAAAAAATTATCATCAAAGCAAAAAATTCACATGGGTGAATCAGTCACTCGAAAACTTGCTTAATCACCAAAAAGTCGTCAGATTTTTTGCTTATTCAAGCTGAATTCAGAAAAGCTAAGTGAACTGATTTTTTGAAGGAAAGCCTGCTTAGCTTGAAAATCCGCCAGGTTCAATATCTGGACGTCCAAAATACATCGAAAAACAGTTTCCACTACGTAAACATTATTGCCTAATCTCGGCCATATACAATGAATCATAAAAATCGCAATAACTGACAACATAACGACGACGGACAATATCCAGATCCCTTATTACGGCAATTCTAATCATTCCGCTTAAATGTTTCCGAGCGCCTGCTTGAGAATGCTATGGGATGGTACTACGATGCATGACGGGACATTTCATGTACATCGGAACCGTGTTAGCTAAGGATGGCGAAATTCATTTAGAACTGAGTCTGCGCAATGGAACGGCATCGGTGAATTTTGGCAAGCTGTATAACATATTGATGAATCGGACTCTAAGGAAAAACGCGAAGGTCACAATTCAGAAAGCAACGTATTCGTGGCGTTTAGGTACACTCTCGAAATATCTACGATCCTTAAAGTCACGAATCTCGCCTAGCTTACAACAAAGATGTCTGCGCATCATCTTCAAGGTGTGACAGTACTACAAGATAATGAGTCGGCAGCTGCTGACGACAACCTATCTGATGAAAGAAGAGACCGGCGACTGAAATGGTTTCATAAACCCAAAAAAGAATGAAAATATGTTAAAAACTTTCCTCGCTTGGAAACTAACACAAGTCCCAGAAGCGTGTGAGTGCTCTCCGCGCTAGGTAGATCTGTCTGCAAGCAGGAATGTGACCACTGCCGCAGGAGTGAACCATGCTTAATATCAACCTAAACTATGTTATTAACGGCCAGAAATAAACCTGAGCGACTCCGCTGCATAAGCTCTATTAGCCTGAGATATCGATGAGAAAACAACCACAGTTTTTCCCTGTAACTACTGAATTTTTTCTTAGCCGTAAAGAAATAAACCTTTAGATGATCAGCAAACAAAGGGTTTGTAGACATAGTCGCTCACAGGCCAGCTGTTTCGAACAAAAGGTTGACTTTAACAAAAAATTACAGCAGAAAGGATACGTACTCATTTCATACCTTTAATCCCATGCTTCCCAGATGAAAGTGTGGATTAAAATCCAAGCACGATTAAGACTGCTTTATTAAATATTAAATCGCTTTAACCAGAAGTAGCTAAGGGAATTGTTGATCAATTCCGTATGTTGCGCAATTGTTTAAATAAACGGAACTGCTAAGAAATCAACGATTTAATAATATCCTGCCGCTGCAACGTACTACAAAAATTAGGTCGTGCGGCTCGATACACGTATTTGAAATAAACTGCAATATCTCGTTGATAATTACATAGTAGTAACTCACAATTATCGTATCATCTGCGAAGTATGCCCCATAAATGAAAATGTTTAATGTCAAAAATTTAAACAACGAAAATAATTTAAAGCTTTTATTTAACAGTCTGGATCATGACAAAGAGTAGATACCTGAGAATGGACAAAACTTTTACTCTAGCGAGGCTGCTCCATTTAGCTTCACAGATTTCTTCAACAATCCTCGATTTTGCAGCAGACGAGTCATTGTCAAAATCGTCATCTTTAGACAAGGAATTGCCGCCGCTCAATATTTGCATTAAAGTCGGAAATGCATCGAACCATCTGGACAAACATAGAGTTAAAAATTGTTAAACGACATAAATCGGCAGAAATACGTCATACTGAAATAAAATATCAAAATATGCTGTACATAAATATTAATATTATTTCGTATCAAAGTAAGAGTTTCTCTGTAAATGAAGATCACGAAACTAAATAGCTTGGGTAACACAAATAATCTGAAACAAAATGCCTTAAAACGAATCTTAAATAAATTGAAGCATTTTAAATAACAATAAGTAATGCTTCTTTACTAGATCCAAACTCGTATACGACATCAAGGGTCCATCACTGTTACGGTAGGCAGCAGCACCTCAGTTCGTGAGCTAAGTATTTCCAGCATCTGCTGAACCGCTGCCGCCCTCCAGATTCATCAGCTCCAACCATTAATCTTTGCCAACATAACAGATCAGTGCCGATCTATCCACTAAAAATGGAATATCGAGACTATCCACTTTGTGCCGATTATTACACAAGACAGTCAGGTGTGTCAAAGAGAAGTGCATCACAAAAAATCCTCACATCGCATAGCATTGCTTTACAAATCGTTCATTCCGGCAGGACCCTATCAGAACCCAATACTGTACCTACCATTAATACCAAATAACTACGCGTTTCTCTGCTGTATGCTCCAAAGCAACATGGAGAAAATTTCTTGTTCAAGAAATTCGCGTAAAGACAAACACTGTTCCATCAGCGGATTCGAATTTGGCACATCTGGATTTCAAAGCCGACTTCATAAGTACTGTGCCACCGCAAAACTGGAATTCCAAAATTACTTGGTATGTCTCAATGTGAAAAAGACTTCTGCGGATCGAATCAAATGAAGTTAATCAAATATGGAGTAATGGGAATGATAAAAAAAGCTTAACGTCTCCATTAATAAAGTAGGGGCATCACAAAGTCTCTTTGGAGAAACGATATTGTAGAGTATCGGTTCCGTGTTTAAAGCTGGGCGGCGGATCACAAGCTCCAACTATCCTGAATAATCAATGAAAAGGCTAGAACAAGCAGTTGATAAAAGACTGTAAGATTTGCCAAAATCACTAAGGCTTCAAGACTGTGTATTCCTACTCTAACAAGATTTTCATAATTCGCAGAATTAAAAGCAATGCCGGAGCTTCCAACAATCATGATTTTTCATTTAAGTGACTTTAAAGTTACGTCTGATCCAATGGATCGTCAACAATGTGGAAAATTTTAAAATACCATTGAATATATGAATATTCGGC